TTTCAGCTCAGGTGAGCTAATAAAAAGGTTTCACTGTAAATATAATTATTCACAGTATGTAGCAGTAAAAATCATAATTAAACCTCACAAAATTTTTGAAAAAAAGTTTATTTGTTCACATTGGACAATTTTTTTAGTGATCAGAAAGCAAAACAGCAAGTCATCATGTAATTTAAATAATATGCAGACTTCGGTATCTTTAATAACATTCATTATGGAATGTGTAAAACATGATTTAGTATTATTTATAATCACATGAATTTAAATTGTGGTCTCGGTTAAAATTGCTCAGTCAGACAAACAATTCAAAACAAAGTACCACAAATCACTTTTTATTTGTGAAAACCTTTAATTACACTTGATTGTAATAGTCTTCATCCAAAAATTTCATGATTTGCACATATATCTGTATGCTTTAAAATTATACAGAACATTTAATAACAAAAGTTTAGAAGTTTTTGTTTTTCTAACAAAAAGTAAATGACTATATTATAATCTCCTAAAAAAAAAAAAAAAAAAAATTTGATCTACATTATTCATAAACATGACGTGTTTAAGAATAATTTGCAGTAATCATCAAATTTCACTTCATCATACATAGTACATGTAAGGCCATGCAAAGTTAATTACTTGGTTCTCAGGCCTTTTTTCAAGAAATATGATGAGGGAGGGAGGCATTTTTTTTTCTTTTTTATTGCCCCCAAAACATGATGAGGCAGCTTTTTACATTGTACAAAACCTCAAAAAATGATGAGGGAGGTGATTTGGTGTTTATATTTTATTGATTTAGCAATAAAAAGGGTCAATGAGGCACCCTTGGAAGAGATGAGGGAGTGCCTGAGAACCAAGAAATTAATTTTTTTTTGCCTAAATGAAGCGGTTTTACATGTTCATTCTGAAAATGGTCCATAGCTGCATCATCCCATCATAAATGGTAATGAACAGCATTCATTTATACAATGTATCTAGTGTATAAAAGTCAATATGTAACTTAAAAATGTTAGTTAAATTTACACTTTGAAAAATCCATCTCTGGATGCTGCTTCATAAATCTGCAAAAAGAAGAGGAGAGAATGTTTAGCAATTGATAAAATATTTCTTCCAAAACAATCAAAATAAACATTTACTTTCTCCAAAAAATAATAGAAGAAAAGTTAAAACCTACTAGGAGGACTCCCTTCAAAATTTTTGCATTTTGCAAATATTTATTTATTCAGTAAATACTGAATAGATTGGGCAACAGGCTTAAAGCCTATAAATACCCTCCCTATTGCCTTATCTTAATATGTCATTTAAAGTATATATATATATTTACAAATATCTGTCTGATGTACTTTAGTTTAGTGTTTAGGGTTATATTCAAAATGGGAGGGACACATGAGGAATTTGCCAATGACATGTATGAGGCAGTGCCATTTTTTGCCATAATCTCTTTTCAATTTTAGATTAATATTTTCCTGTGTGTTGGGATATGACATCAATATTTAATCTTTTATGAACAATTCTGAAAATACTTGTGTTTTATGCATACATGTATGGAAACAAATAGAACCTCCTTTCTGAAATTAGATTAAGTACTCCCAGATTTCTCAAACAATAAAGGTATCGTAAGCATTCTTCCCCCCCCACCCCCACAACTCCCCCTTCTCTAGGTTCACAGAGTGACCTACTTTATGAGAATTTCCACACCCCCCTTCTGAGTGACCTACTTTCCGAGGATTTCCTGTTTTTTCTGGTCCTCTGAGGTGGGCAGACCCATCTCTCGCTGTCTCTGGTCGTACATCATCTTCTCCACCAGTCCCCGCGTGTCTCCCTCAAGGTCCGATAACTGAAATCACAGTTTTAATAATCACACAAAATTCCAACATCCTGCAACTTTATGTACAAATAAAGATGCTAAGAAACCAATTAAAGTTCATGAAAGCAGCATATTAATGTTCACCCCATGCTATACAGTAAAATTCTATATGAAAGCTATAAGAAGATATCTTGTTATTAATAAATGCAAAGAAATTTGCTCTAGGATTTTTATTTTATCAAAAGTATCGTGTTTTGATTCTTTTGAACAAGTTTTTCATGGAGATAAAATAAATTGACAAAGCAGATAGTGCAGCTTTACTGATGAAGTCTGAAGTACCTTGGATGGTTCGGGGTTGACTTTCTTGGTGTTGATTTCTGGATCTGTCATTATTAATTTATTCCACCACTCCATTCTGTTAACCTGATGAAGAAAAAGCTAAATTACAATTCAACCAATCATAATTTGTTACCAGTACATGTAGATCTATTCAAAAATTGTTCCTACTTGTACTGTCCAAGCAAAAAAAAAAAAAAAACAACACGTTTGTAAGTCAACTAAAGGTCATTTCGTCAATTTATCTACCTTGATAAAAAATCCAATCTCAAATGGCAAAATAAACAATATCATCTCCAAATTTATACTCTCTGACCAAAATAAAAAATGCAATGATCTGTAAGTAACAATGTATAGTTTGCTATTTCAAATGATGAAAACAAGAAGTACATCTGTTTTTACCTTTTCTAAGTTAAGGGTGATGTATTTCTTATTGTCAATTGTCCACGTTGACTCCTCCACTTTAATTTCATTAAATGTCTCTCCATCCATAATAGGAGGGTGGCCTTTAAGACCAACCTTTAAATGCTGAAACAAATTCAAATCTTTGATGAAACAACCAAAACAATATTATTTCATTTTCTTTACACTTACTTACTTCTACATAGTCTATCCAAGATGGCCACAATTAAGGGATAGTTATAGTTCTGAATCCTTCAACTTTTCAGGCCTTTAACTATGCAGTCTCTATAATTGAAGATTTAATAAATCGTTTCTATACATAGCACTCATGATGTTCAAATAAATCACATTACCCTTTTTCTTACAGTTTGCATGTATACATTGTACATGAGCAATTTATGCACTGTGACATCATTTAATGCAAAACAAACTTACATCATTTTACATTTTGAATGCATGCTAAAATTTTTTTCTTTATCACGATCCTTCAAAAATTGCTGCTTTTAATCGATCTTTTCTTAAATTAGTTTAGATGGCTACCTCCTTGTAGTTTATCACTATAATCATCCAGAACACCTTGGGTCTTTTACAGAAAAAAGTTTTTCAATGAAAGGTCTGAGTTGTTCCAGAGGTCATTTGAATGTTACATTAATACAGGTATATGTGACATCACTATTTGCATCCTAGTGAAATATTTATTGCAAGTTGTTCCTTAAATGCAATTCAACCGGGAATTTAAAATATCATAGTGTTCACTGTTAACCTATTGTAAACCAACTTTTATTCACGTGTGAGAAATATCTGCAAGCATCGCGACCTAAATTTAATCGGGTATAATAATCAAACAAATATTTTTGCTTTGTATTTGTGAGGAATATATTTCCTCAGTCGCCAAATTTATCGTCGCAGATAAATATCAAACTGACAAATTGTAAATAAAAAATGATGTGAATAGTAGCTGGTTTACAGTATATAAAAATACATGTAAAAGAAATGCATACCTTTCTACCAATTTCCACAACAACATCTTTTGATTTGATGGGAAATTTTACATCAAACCAGCACTGGCACTAAAAAGGTGAAGCAGAGCTTAAATTATCAATTTTATCTGAAAAGCTTAAAGATATGAATTCTCTCATCCAAATCTTTATAACACACAACGCTTCTCAAAGAATGAAACCAGGACAACAAAGACATTACTGAAAGGCCAAATGCATATTTTCCCACAACATTGATTTTCATATTTGATAAAATATTTGTCAAGACAAGTACAAGTTTATGGAAAGATGATACAGTTACCAGTCCACATAAATAAATATCAGTAAAACTTTGATGAAGAAACTTTAAAATCTTTAGGCTGATGTAATTGTTAAGTCAAATATAAACTGAATGAACCTTTTTTTTTTTTTTTTTACAAAAACAATTACTTTTCTAAAATACAGAACCGTCTGCTGATATGCACGTATAAATCAAATTGTTTCACTTGCTCTACTCGTGTAGAAAACAAAGGACCTTTAACCTCCCCTCCTACCTCAATTTCCTCTAGAGTTTGACTCCAACGGTAGTTAGGCATGTCCCCGCCATTTCCAGCATTAGGGGGAACTTTCCCTTTATCAGCCTCATCCTCTTCATCAGACTGCAATTTAAATCAAAATTTTACAACTACAGAGATGAATTTCTTTCCTAATGAGGAGGTAAATTTTGTCAACAGAAGAAATAAAGCCTCTCAGAATACTAGGTGAATTTAAAATTTTGGTTTAAATATGTTATTCACAGTAAATTCTTAGAAATCTTTTTGGACATCTCTTTATCAATGGAACTCTGGAACTCCGAATCTCTTAACTAAAGTAAATGTTTCATTTCACATCAAATTTTTTATATTTATTCTACAAACTACTTTATTAAATCAACTTAAGATCCACAAGTCTTTTTTCTGTATAACCTTTTCTTTGTCTCCATTTTCTTTCGATTTTTCCTCTTTCTCTTTTTCTGGCTCAGGCTCTGGTGCGGGAGTTTCTTTTTTCTGGTAAAAGAAAAGAACATAGGATATTACTGTCTATATCCATATGATGATGAGCTTGCTACAGCCAACAAAAAAAATTACTTTTCTATTCACTTTTTGACTGAAAGCACTGTATTTTAATTGTATGAACATGCAGAAATGAAGAAGACTTTGATCTTAATTGCATTTTAAATCCATGAGAAGATTTCTAAATGCAAAGTTTAAGATAGATCAGTCTCTGTAAGAACCCCATAGTTTGATAACCAAGATGAGGTTTCTTTTTTTCATATTTTCATGCAATATAATGGGCATGAGATAATCACTTATGTACATTGTACTTAGGTATACGGCATACTTGAAGAAAGGATCTTGGACTTGCAGTATGGCAGGGGATGCTCACTCCTCCATGGCACCTGATCCCACCTCTGATGTTTCGTGGGTCCGTGTTTGCTCTGCTCCTATTTTGTATTGTTTTATGGACTTTGAGATTGAATACTGTTCGTTATCTCCATATCCTTCTTGTATCAAATCAATTTTCCTTGAACAATGAGCACACTCAAGGGAAGTTACTCTAGATTATGTCTGACAATAATTATGACTCAATAGTTGCGATACAATCTATGGATTTCGCATAACAGCTCCGGCTAAATCCCAATGATGGAAATTCATAGCCAGAAAAATTTCTTGTACAGGCGGTTAATTTTGATGGTTTTCAGCTCTTATTGAAAACACTGCCTTATCACCTATATACTACAAGTACTTTGTCAATTTATTTCTGTACCTATTTTCAGACCATTTTTACCTTGTCAATTTCTTTCTCTGCTTTTTTTCAGATCATGGCTTTATACACTGTGCCTTGCCAATTTCTTCCAGTGTTTTTTTTTCAGACCATTGGCTTTATACACTGTACTTTGACCATTTCTTTCTGTATGTTTTTTTTTTTTCAGAACATGACCTAATACCCTGTACCTTGTCAATTTCTTACAGCATTTTTTTCCCCATAACTTCATATACTGTGCATACCTTGTCGATTTCTTTCTGTATTTTTTCAGCCTCTTCGTCAGTGACCTCCTTTATTTTGGGTTCCTCCTCCTCCTTTTTCAATCTCTCCATCTCTGCTTCTTCCTCAGCTTTCCTCTTTGCGATCTTTTCTTTTCTCTTTCTCTCTTGTTCTTCACGCTCCTTCTTTATTTCCTCTTTCTGTCTTTCTGCTATCTTTTCATACTTTTTAAAATTTTCCAGCAAAATCTGTTAATCGGGAGATTAAACATAAAACATAAAATAAGTCAAAAATTGGACCACAATGATACAAGTATATTTCCACACAGTATTGATCGATTTTCAATCCTTAAAAAAAAAAAAGACAAACTGTTTTTTTTATTATTTCAAAATTCAAGCTTAACACTTCATTGAACTTATTACATGTATTATCTTCGAAGAATCCTTAAAAGATTTTTTTCAATAGAAATGATCCCTGTTTTAATGTCTACTTGTCTATTTTTATTTTGCCATTTTTAGGCTTACTTGTCTATTTTTAGCTCCTTACCCTCTCCGCCTGCCCCGGGGCACCTGCTGTGTAGTAGTCTGTCTTCCGGACCAGAAAACTGAACAAACAGTCTAGGAGCTGTAAAAGATAGAGACCATAATAAGAGTTATCTTCCTTTCCTTGTCACAATTTGTATACGCAGCATTGTTAAGGCTTGAATAAGGGGGCAGGGCCTAATTTATACGGGAAAAGTTTACTGTGACGTCACACAAAAATATGACTTTTATGTATTTCTCATTATACCTATAAATGAAATAGTTTGCAATTTTTAACTGTATTAGCATAATAAACAACAATAAAACTTATCAATGCATTTAAATAACTTGCTAGTTAAATCCCATGTGTCTGCTTTAATGGCTGTGTGATGCGTACAGTGTGTGTGTTTGTCTGTGTCTGTGCTTGTCGCTCTCGCTTTCAGCACCACCCCTGGCTAACAGTTTGCTGTGAAAAGGAAGCAAAATATGTAAGTCTTCCCTGCCAGGTATAGCCTCTCCACAGTTACACCTATGTGGCCCAGATGTGGGATCCTCCTCGAGGTAGCGGATGGTAATTGGGTACCTTGCGGCCCCAAGCGGAACCACAGGGTCTTGGAGGAGACTAGGCCCCTAAATGTACGGCATGCATGGCCCACCGGCGTGTGGATATGCCCTGATGCCTGCAATCCTAGTCCCCAGCTATGGGTAAATAGCAACAAACCGCTGCCTTGTGGATACCTTTGGGAGAAGGAAAGGCTAAGGAGTAAACCCTACAGAAATCCGTCCAGGTAAAGGCGTTAGCTGGGTAAAGCAGTTACCTAGGAGAAGATAAAATTCTAATTTAAAATCACGGGTAGATCTAGTCTCGTTAGCCATGGGAAGCCATAGATCTAGTGGAAGGAAACCATAAATAAATTACCCTGGTCCTCCAGGTTGGGGGTTGGGCAAGGGGGTAATCTCCCCTTCCTTTAAAATCATAGCGATTACAGAAACAAGGACTAGAAATATTTCTACTAACGTCGAGTCTTCAGCATACCAGCAGAATACTGCATATTTGACTGTGAACAGTGAAAGCCGACAGGAAGCTGTCCACACGAGAAGTATACTGAACACGCGAACTAAAATGAGAGTCGGTTTCTGGAACGTACGAACCATGTATGAAACAGGAAAACAGGCTCAAGTTCTGAGAGAGATGAAGGAGAACAGGCTACATGTACTAGGCATAAGTGAGTGTAGATGGACAGATTGTGGGAAGAATATTGCCAGTACAGGTGAAGTTTTTGTGTACTCTGGAAGAAGGGACAATAAACATCATGAGGGAGTAGCTGTCATCCTAAGTAAAAATGCAGCAAAAACATTAATAGATTACCATCCTGTAAATGAAAGAATCATCAGAGTAAGACTGAGAACAAAACCTGTTCAGACATCTATAATACAGGTTTATGCCCCAACAAATGAAGCAGAAATGAAATTAAAGAGGAATTCTATGAAGCTCTACAGGCTGAATTTCAAAAAGTTCCAAAGCAAGATCTAACGATCATCATGGGAGATCTCAATGCGAAAGTTGGAAGCGATAATGTTGGTTATGAAAGAGTTATGGGGAAGAATGGCTGTGGAAGTATGAATGAGAACGGTGAATACTTCGCAGAATTCTGTGGAAACAACAACTTGGTAATTGGCAGAACACTGTTCCAGCATAAGGACATACACAAACTTACATGGGTGTCACCTGGAGGGAGAGATAAAAACCAAATTGACCACATTGCCATCAATGGAAAATGGAAAAGATCTTTACAGGATGTAAGAGTGAAGCATGGGGCTGATGTTGGAAGTGATCACCACCTTGTTACTGCCAACATAAAGCTTAAGCTGATGAAGGTAGCGCCAAAAAACAACATCAGGCGAATAGATACAGGCAAGCTGAGAGAAAATAAAGTGAGGCAAGACTTTAAATTAGAGCTAAGAACGGATTTCAAGCCTTGCAATGTGGTGATTTTGATAATGAAGCGGTTGACGAACACTGGAGTAAAATCTGCATCCTGTTCAGTGAATCAAGCAAGAAGTGTCTAGGGTTTAAGAGGCAGGTGCATAAGGAATGGATTACACCAGATACGTGGAATATCATTGACAGAAGGAAAGACCTTAAAACTAAGCTATATAACACCCGCTCAGAAAGAATAAAAGAGAGATTAAGAGAACAATATTCCAACTGCAATAGAGATGTGAAGAAAGCAACAAAGAAGGATCGTACCAGTTTTATAGCAGGCATAGCAAGAGAAGCTGAGAAAGCTGCTTCTGAACAAAGAATGGGAGGTCTCTATCAGATAACAAACAAGAGATGTTTGTAAAACACTTATGCCCCCCTCCCCCCAAATTGGAATTTTTTTAAGTCCAAAAGGGCATAACTCTGTCTAAAATGCTGCGATCCTACCCAAAACATTTCTTGACCTAGATATTCAGCTGAAAAATCTATATACTAAATTTCATTTCAATATGTGCAACCTCTGCAAAGAAAGGAATGGAAACTGCAAGTCCAAGGGGCATAACTCTAACAAAAAGGATGCGATCGTACCCAAAACACTTCTTGACCTAGATATTTATCTGATATATCTGTATACTAAATTTCATTTCAAATATGTGCAACCTCTGCAAAGAAAATGAACGGAAACTGCAAATAAGTGGAATTTTTCTAAGTCCAAGGGGCATAACTCTAACAAAAAGGAAGCGATTGTACTCAAAACAGAACTTGACCTAGATATTTATCTGAAATACCTGTATACTAAATTTCATTTCAATATGTGCAACCTCTGCAAAGAAAATGAACGGAAACTGCAAATAAGTGGAATTTTTATAAGTCCAAGGGGCATTACTCTAACAAAAATGGTGCAATCGTACCCAAAACATAATTTGACCTAGATATTTAGCTCATAAATCTGTATACCAAATTTCTTTTCAATATGTGCAACCCCTGCGAAGAAAATGAACGGAAACTGCAAATAAATGGAATTTTTATAAGTCCAAGGGGCATAACTCTAACAAAAAGGAAGCGATTGTACTCAAAACAGAACTTAACCTAGATATTTATCTGAAATACCTGTATACTAAATTTCATTTCAATATGTGCAACCTCTGCAAAGAAAATGAACGGAAACTGCAAATAAGTGGAATTTTTCTAAGTCCAGTGGGCATAACTCTGTCAAAAATGGGGCGATCGTACCCAAAACAGAACTTGATCTAGATATTAACCTGATAAACCTGTATACCTAATTTCATTTCAGTATGTGCAACGGTTGTGAAGAAAATGAATGGAAACTAAATGGACCGACAGACCGACGGACAGCAGCAAAGCAATATGCCCTCCCTTCTTCGAAGGGGGGCATAAAAAGTTGAGTGGAAGGAAAAGAAAAACAAACATGCCTATGAAGGACAAGCAAGGAAATCTCATTACATCCGAAAGGGAACAGGATGAAAGATGGAGAGAACATTTTGAAGAAGTGTTAAATCGCCCGGAACCTAAAGAACTGGCACACATACCGGAAGCTGAAGCTGATTTAGAAATTGAAACAGAGGTACCATCTAAAGCTGAAATACTCAAAGCAATAACAGCCCTTAAGAACAACAAAGCACCTGGAAATGACCAACTGCCAGCAGAACTATTCAAAGCAGATCCAAACCTTGCAGCAGACATCTTACACTCATTATTCACCAAGATCTGGAATAGTAATACAATACCAACGACATGGTCCAAAGGAAATATCATTAAAGTGCCAAAGAAAGGAGATCTTACCAACTGCGATAACTGGAGGGGCATCACATTACTATCAATACCTAGTAAGATATTCAGCAGAATAATTATCGACAGAATTAAAACTGCAATAGATGACAAAATAAGACAAGAGCAAGCAGGTTTTAGGAAAGGGAAAAGTTGTTGTGACCAGGTGTTTACCCTACGAAATATTATAGAGCAATGTACAGAGTGGCAAAGGCAGCTTATAATAAACTTTATAGATTTCGAAAAAGCCTTTGACAGTATCCACAGGGAAAGTCTATGGAAGATCTTAAGATATTATGGAATACCATCAAAGATAGTAGAACTGATAAAAGCTTCTTATGTGGAGTTTAATTGCTCTATAGGCAGCTCATCAGATGCATGCTTCATAGTAAAATCTGGCGTGAGGCAGGGATGTGTTATGTCAGCTATCCTATTTATTCTAGCAATTGACTGGGTAATGAAATCAACCCTAAATGGAAATAACACAGGAATAAGATGGACACTCTTTACCAATCTTGAAGACCTAGACTATGCAGATGACTTGGCCCTACTATCACATCTGGAAAAGCATATGCAAAGTAAAACAACAAAATTACAGAGAAATGCAGAAAAAATTGGATTAAAAATCAATACCAGGAAAACAGAAGTTATGTCATTAAACACCAAACAACCAGCAAGAATATAGGTTAATGGAAACGACCTGAACAACTCAACAACATTTACCTATCTTGGCAGCATAGTAACATCGGATGGGGGTGCAGACAAAGATATAAAGGCCAGACTAAGTAGAGCTAGAGGTGCCTTCATCAGCCTGAAGAGCATATGGAAAACAAATGACATAAGTAGAAGGACAAAATTAAGAATATATAACAGCTACGTACTGTCTGTCCTACTCTATGGGTCAGAATGCTGGAGAATGACAGAAGGAGACATATGCAAACTCTCTAGTTTCCACAATGGATGCCTCAGAAAGATCTAATCTCAGCGAGATGTCGTAGGGACTAACATATTTGGTCGGACGTCCACTACGACATCTCAGTCCACTTCCACACAACTTGATTAGGGATTTTTCGCTCAGATTTCGACCGCTCGTTTCAATCAATATTGGCTGAAATGAATTATCTGCTCACTTCAACTTTTCCCTTTGAACATCCCTTTAAGTCTCTATCACGATAAAACTTTCCTTTCTTACCTTTAAAATGTTTAAATCCAACAAAATATAAAGTTGTTTATTTTTCCTCTGTAATGTCCAATTCATTTAAACCTCCGATGTTGAAGAGTTCCACAATAGTCTGCTTTGAATAATTCGTACTATAGTTCAGTCCTATAGGAAATAGTAGTAGAACGAATAATTCAAAGCACAGGTGTATTAATAGTGAGTGCAACAAGCAGCACAAAGGACAGCCCATTACCATGATCATAGTGAGCCCTTAAAGCAATGCTTGGGTGACGAGAAAATACTAGGGATGACAAAATATTCATTTTCCTTAGTCGATTAATCCATTGCATTATTTGAACAATACTTGAATATTCGGAGCAATTTCATAAAATAAAATTTCATTGTACATAATGTATTTTTAACTCAAAGATCCTTTTACTTTAATCTCTTTCAAAAGTAACATCAAATCAATGCAACTTATTCAGCTCAGATGAAATAATGTAAGAAATCTAATTCTCGAAAATGTATGATTTCCCTGTCAATCCAAATATTTACATACAATTCAGACTTGTCGAAATTTTTTAATCACTGTCAGACATTTGGTCTGACAAAGTCGAATGTTCTGTCGGACCAGTCAAACTTTGTCAGACCAGATACTTGTACCTTATTTTGATGCTGATAAAATCATATGAATAACAGCACCAAATGTCCTTTTTTATTTTCAATAGCCTTCAATCTAACAAGTTTCCTTTCTTGGGATAGAGAGTCTTTAACAAGACATAAATGACAAGTTTTATGACTTTGCTATAACAAATTTACTTAGCTATTGTCAATATCGCTGCATACGCGGCCATCTTTTCTGTGTTTGTGACCTTTAACTACGCGTTCCGATCCCGACCTTTATTAAATTTGCATTATGCTCAATTTTATTTCAAACGGTCATCAGGACCATCGTTTTCTTAAATGTTATTGGTCCATACAAATTTTTACCGGCCTTGCCCACAGGACCGATGGATTTCGACAAGTCTCAATTATTTTTAATAAGTATTTAAAAATTGCCAGCCTGGAGTCAATATTTTTAAAGATTTTTATGGGGCAAAGCTTAGATAAAATTGAGAAGGTAGGCTATCAAATAATTAACACAACTGTACTTGCCCCATGGTTGCACCATCAACAGTTTTTCGGTCTGACTGTTATGATAAGCATAGATGCCTAGTCAGTTTGAATTTAGATCAGACTCCTTAAACCATGTAACATTTTGTACGTCTAGGCATCACATGTCATTGTACACTTATAGTTGTGTTACCATAAAAATATATGACAGGTTTGATTTTAGTAAAGAACTTTACATCTGCAATTTTTATGCTATATCCATTAAATCACGATGAATTTATTTTTTCTTGGAATATCTTGTTACTGCAAGAGTGTTGTTTGTAGTAAAATGCAGTTAGTTAAAGATTGTGTGTCCAGAGGCTACTGTGAAAAGAATTCATTTGGATCAATGTGCAAGTCTTCATTTTCTCTTTGCCTAGGCATTGTCGTAAAAGCAAGCAATGCCAGGCGTTTCTCGTGCACGCTTTAAACACTTCTTGCAAAAAAACTCTCACTGCTAAGCAATATTTTATTGAAACTCTTTGTCGAAATCTACAAGTTCAATTCATCTTACGAGTACTGAACCGGCACATATACTTAAAACTTAGGAAAATACCATCCTACTTTCACTTTCTCTAAGGAAATATGAGCTTTTTCTTTTAACTAACATTCAAACAATGATAAAAACCTCGTCAATTCCCTTTTCACTGCGCTGACACATTGCCAGGAACATGCCATCAAACTTTTCTGAGTCATGTCCTGCCATTTTGCAGAGAAATACAAAAGTATTTTTCTAGATCTTTCACTAGGATTGAACGAGTCCACACCAAACCGCGATCTGAGTCAATTATATTCTTTGAACGGGCCTCTCTATTTATGTTCATCTGCAAGAGAAGCAAAGATGCAGATTTAAAGATGACACTGCGCATGTACAAAGTGAAACTTCCGTAAACAGACGAAAATGTCAAGTTTGTCACTTAGTCGAAGTCAAACGTTCCGAAATCCGGATGAAGATTTTATTTTACATGGTCAACGGTCATCTTATTGGTAAACAACAATTTTAACAGTGCATTGAAAGCAGGGTTTTTGTTTAAATTGAACGCGTCGTCATTAATGACACGTTTTCGCGCGTTGCCATGTTAAACAATCTTTATTGAGCTGCTTACGAAAAGTCGGCATGCCCCAAATATTCATAATTTACGTCTTTGATCAGACAGTCTTATCATTTTTACTAATGCTGAATTCATATAGTAAATTATGCATCTTATTTGGTAGCATTAAATTGTATAATTATTTCAATATGATTTTTAAAAAGGGAGGGGT